TGTGTCTCTAAATATTTTTTGTAAATTGATTACCTTAAATTAGAAATAATATTGATTTTTTAATTTTTAAATGCTATGTATTTTATAATTAGACGCAACAAAAATTATTTAGAATTATTTACATTTAAAGTTATCATATATATTTATTGAAAAATTGACGATTAAATTGATGTTGCTTGATAATTAATTTACTACATTATGTTGAAAATTAATATTAATACTTGAAATAAAAAAAATCATAACAACAATCTCAATAAATGAATAAAACAATGATATATACCACTTGAAGGATCTTAACAATTCCATTCCAACTTTTCAAATAATTAATATTAATGGTTATATTCGGTACCATTGTTCGATTCTAATACCAGTTCTGAAATCAAATTTTTCTTGTCACTATATACATATCAATTTATAAAAATTTTCTTATTGTACATGTATACACTGAAAGAGAAAAGATTAGCTGCTGCAACAAATTAGATGATAAAATATGGCATAGCATTTGTAATTGGCTGCAGTAACCAATTAAAAATGCTATGCCATATTTTAGGATCTAATTTGCTCCAGCAGCCAATCTTTTCTTTCAGTGTATAAATAAAAATATTGAATAAATCAAAATGCGGAAATTTATAATAACGATAATTTTCGAAAAGTTACACAACTTCTTGAAAGGCTGTATATTTAGCCGCAAAAATTTCATATACTTACTCCATTTTCTTTAATAACTTTATTTTTTGTTTAATAATTCACGTAAGTATCATATAAACGTCCACGTCATATAAGCAATTATATCTATAATGTATAATTATATTTTTATATTAATTATAATATTATATATGTATAAATATTGTATACAAATATAATAATTGTATTTTTAATAATTATCCACATAACATCATCAAAATTTTATCAATGTGCCACATGTAATACTATATAATAACTTAAATTTTATAAATAGACACAATAAGATACAATATTTTATTTGATTCAATGAAATAATATAAAACAATTTAAATTTTGCAATATTTTAGTCATATTAAATTCTATAATTTAAATCTGTTTATTAATTAATAATCTTAAAAATTTTTATTAACTTATATGAATTAAAAAAAACACTTTTTACAATTAGAGTACTTTTACAATTCTGTGGAAATCAAATATTACATAATAATTATAAAAATACTACATTATTTATGTAAAAGTTTTTTAGCGCAAATAATAACTTATCTAAATTCAACATAATTTATTTAATACGATAATGTTAAAAATATAATTTTTTATTGCCAAAAAATTTTCTTTTAACGTCACATTAATAACGAACAAGAAGGAATTGATAATTTTATGATACGATCTGTTTTGTACTGTAATCTAACATAATAAGAAATATAATATAAAGGATTAAATACTTTACACATTGCTTCCATCGACTTATAACTTAGTGTATTATTTAAAAATTTTTGACACAAAATATATAAAAATAAAATACACTATTGCAATTTTTATGTAAAATAGCAATAATAACGATTTACTTTTGTTAAATGTATAATATTAATAAATGTATTCATTGTTTTGTGTAATAAATGTTTTGTGACAACTGTGATTTACATTATACAAATATTGATTCGAAAAGATTAGTATAGTATTAGATTATGTAGATTTAGTATGTAGTAAAAAATATATCTTTTTGTATACCTCCTAAAATAATATGCATGTAGTTTCACAATCGAAGTAATTTTAAAAATTGTATGTGAGTTTGCCAAAGGAATTTTACGAACTTACATAAAAATGAAACGTGATAGATAACTATAAACGATTATCAAGATAAAATTACAAAAATATGGAATTACGGAAACAAATTTACGAAAAACAAATGAAGCGTCATTTATAATCATTGGTTATCTTTTATACTACGTACGCGTAAAGTGTGAAAATTTAATAATCGATTAATTCCAAGTAATATTATCTATTATTATGTTCGATAAATAATTGTTCAATGTCAATTTGTTCTTTGCACTTGAAAAAATTGTCACCAATTATATTTTGTAATATTATTATATATTCATCGCCCATTTTTTTAGTTAAATTATATAGGTTATTATATTAAATAAAATTATATATTTGTCTTTTCATTAATTTATTGAGGAATTGAAAAAACGAAAGTAAATTATGCGAAATTAATAACAATCTAATTAATAAATGTAATATAAAAGATATGTTATTCACACATAAAATATATTAATTTTTCATATATATAATTTTTCTACAATCAAAAATTAAACTAATAAAGTGAAAAATAATTTAATAATTAACAATAAAAAATAGTTTCTAAATTACTTTGACAATATCAAAAAATCTAATATGATTTTAAAACATCTTTATAGAAACTCTCACTACAATTATTAATTAATGATTATAATTTTCACATTCTTAATTTAATAAAATTTTCTATTCTTCTTTATTAAGTATTCTTAATAAAATAATTGCATACACATTAATCTAACAAATAATTAATTAAAATGCATGTTCATGACTACATGAGTAAAGGCAAAGTACAGTCTACAAATGAGAATTACATTAACCTAAGGAAATTACATTCTTTTACATCAGTTATTAACGAATGACTGACATTATATAATTTATGAATGCAGAAGGTATCATCACAGATAAGATTGATATAATTACATGGTATAATATTGGGTTGTCCGGAAAGTTCGTGCCGCAAAAAATTTAAATTTAATTGTATATTTAAAATTTAAATCTTCTGCGTTTCAATTTTTCTTCAAAATTGGCTTTCCGGACAATCCAATATTCAAAGTAATTTTTTTTTTTTTTTATATCAATTCGTGTAACGATCAGACATTTTTTATTTTGTTAATGTCAATATAGGCAGTAAATAATAAAAAAATTGTTATATTATATTATTTTATTAAATCGATTGTAAATTAAAAAAAATATTTAAAATGTTTATGTATAAAAATTATATACAAAAAAAAAAAAACAAAAAACAAATGAGTCTATAGATTATTTTATAATATGAAATTTCTTTAACAAAATTATTTTTATCCATAATATTAAAATAGATATTATTTTTATTAAATAGATATTATTTAACTTACATATTATAATAAACGTAATATAATAAGAATAAATATATAATTTATATAATAAATATATAATAAACATATAATAAATATAAATTATTATATATAAATATATAATAAATCATAATTTCAAAGAATTATTAAAAAAGATTAGAGATTTGCAAACGCTTCGTTTTGTTTTCCTTGATGATCCTAAAGTTACCTGTTTTTACCAACTTTGCGTAATAATCTTTGTGCAACAATTATTTTTTCCCAGAGATATCAGAGTTTGAGAGTTACCGCTGTATCATGATCCGTTGCCAATGCCAATGTTTCGTAAACCTTGCTGTTTGTTTCATTAGAGCGAGAAACGCACTGATATTGAGCAGCTTGAGCTACTCCTCCGAAGGACTCCCTTCATAAAAATTTTTAAGAGGGAGGTTCAGAGAGGAAGAAGGAGAAGAACAGCTATTTAACTCAAAATGGAATAAATGCTCAGTTAAATTAATTTTTCTAAATGAGAAACAATGGAATTGTTGTTTAACTTATGCGATCTCTACATAAACTCTTTTAAAGTTTTAAACTATTGTTTGCAGATGTGGGATTGAAGGTAAGTACAATTATATTTAAAAACAATTTAAAATATATCAACTGGTATGTTTTAGATAGAAAAATGCCGATTTTTTTTCGACATGTTCTATCAAATCCAAAAATCTGAAAAAAATATCAAATACAATATGTAATATAATTTAGCTGCTAAATTATTTTAGAAGTGGTCAAATATTCAATTCATGTATAGAATTACGATTTTGAAAATTCTTTTAATAATTTTTTAAGAACAGAATTATGAGTCAAGAATGACAAAAAAGTTCTTATTGTATAATCTTTTTGATACTCTTTATACAGCCATGATTTTTTTTTATAATAATCCGTTTAGATTTAGCGAAGAAAAAATACTAATAAAAAATTACCTTATTTTCGATATCTCGAAATGATATAGCTCTTTAGGATAAAACTTTGTCCAAAATATTCTTTTATCTGGGTGTTCATTTTGCCCTCTGTAGCGATCAATCGATTCGCGCGGGACGCGAAATCTTCTCTTTACGCTACTATATTCTTCGACTAAAAACCTGTACCAAACTAATGAAAAACAGCTATATATATGAGCATGTGCTGTTACATTCTCTGTTGTAACCAATTATTGTATTTTATAAAATTTTATAATTCGTTCATTAAAATTAAATTTTCTTTTCTTAAAATAAATCAGCTGAATAACCTATTAATATGATTCTATTATATCATATCTTGGAATTTGAATGAAATTTATGTTAAATTCGCTTGGACAGTGCTTATATCGCTGCTTTTCATCAGTTTATCAATATATCGTGAGGGAGCTAAACTTAACAATTATCGAATTTGTATTAAACATTGTTTTTAAACATTAATATTATTATTAAAAATACATATTTCAAGATTTATTTCCATAGTATATACATATATACAGGGTGTTTCCGCAACCAACACATCAGTAAGTCGAGTTGCCTATCTGCCCAGAGACATGCTTTATTGATAATGCAGAATAAGATTAGATGACAAGAATTCGGCGAGGAATGAGATAAGAGAA